TAACCATCGGCACGCTGCAGAACACCTGCAAGCCAGCCACTACTGAGCACTCTGCCAAAGCCAGGGAATCATGGAAATATCCACGGGAACGTCAGCAACACCACCCTGAAAAGGTACCAATGTCCCAAACCCCTCTGCAGCACAAAAAGGATCAGACAGAGCAGCTCCAGCGAGCGAGACTGCACAGTGACTCTCTGACTATGAAAATAATTTCTACACCCTTCGAAACCAAAATGCTGCGGCTCAAGCTGAAAAATTCCTTGTACGGCCCCAGTGTGAAATCCTCCATCCCTGCTCCCTGTGTTGTACGTCCCAAGGTTTTGCTGGGAGAAAACAAAGTCCCCGGGGGCCCTGGTAAAGCTGTTCCTCTCCCCAGAGCCAGGGTTCACTTCACTGATCTCTGCACAGCTTCTTCTGAGCTGATCAAACCAACAGGAATGAAAAATGAAGCTTCCAGGAGAGCAGAGCCTTCTCGTTCATATCATCCAGACCCTCTCCGGAGGGACAGTGGGTTCAGGCTTCTGACAGCAAAGCAGGCACACGAGGCAGCTGCTGCTGCAGCTCAGGGTCAGGCACGGCAGGCAGAGCCCACGGAAGATCAGGAAAGGGCAAGACAGAGAGCCTGGTTAAGGAAAGTGAAAGGCCTGCCTGTGGATTCTTTTACTGGGGAAGGGAAAACACCTGTTCCTGAACTTGGGCATAATGTGTTTATCTGAGGTGATCTCCTAGTCCAACTAACAACCACTGCCTGAGGGTTTTGGTGTCCAGATGAGTTTGCTTTCTAAAAGACATCCCCAGTGTAAGTTTTCCTAAGAAATATTATTGGTATATCCAGCTATTTCTCAAGGCAGCAAAGGGAACGAGCCCTGTCCTGGATTTAACTTGCTACACCTGCTGTTACTACAGACATGACACCGTTTGACACTAGCACAGCTGTGGGCAAATAATAATAAAAACATCTTGTTAGAGTTCACGTGGATTGATTAGAGTGTCTGAGATGAAGGTGTGTGGATTGAAAACTGTCTGAGCAGCTGAGCCCAGGGGGTGGGATCAGGGCACAAAGGCTAGTTGGAGGACAGTAACTAGTGGTGTAGTCCAGGGGTTGACATTGGACCTGATTTTGTTTAATATCTTCATTAATTAATGCCCTGGCTGGTAAGGAGCCACCCAGGAGGAATGGCTGCTATCCCAGAGAGGTGCTGCCATCCAGAGAGACCTGGACAGGCTGGAGACAAGGGCTGAGAGAGACCTGGGGGAATTCAGCGAGGGCAAACAGCAAGCACTGCCTTGGGGAGGAACAGCCCCCCAGGCCACTCCTGCCCACGGACACATCAAGGGGCCTTTCAGCTGCAGTTCTACTTTGCAGTGAAAGCCTCTGAAACTCTCCACACAGGGGGTTCGTGATTAGTTTTGCTTTCTTTGTTTTAATGTCATCTTCAACTCCCAAAGCCTGGGATTAAGCCAGACTTTACAATGGTGTAAAATAACAAGTTGGGTTGGGCGGGCTGGCAATTGGTCTGGGTCAGCACATCTGTGCCACTGGGACTGTCACTGCCTGAGGTGGCTTTGCCTGGCACTGGTTTCCAGGCATGAAGCAGCAAGGATTTCACAGGCAGCCACAGGATGGCACTTTCTGCCAAGAAATCAGGCGTAAGCCCAGCCCAGCTGCAGCCAGAGGCCCTTTGGAACAGCCCCCTTGGAAAAAAAAGGATCTCCTAGAGAGAGCCTGATGGGAAAACATCACGGAAAGGCTGCTGCCTTCTTAGCCGTCCTGAAATTAGGAGGATCAGAGGGTTGTGCTCCTACTGGGAGTCGGTAAATCAGCACCTCCCTCCTGGTGTGTGTGCTCAGGCACTGGGAAGGTGCTGCAGCCAACAGGGATGGGTGTGAGATTACCTGCAAGGGCAGAGCTGGACCAAGTCCTGGATCAGCTTCAGCTCAGCACAGAGGATGTGAAGTTGAGACAGGGTGTCACAGATGCAGTGGAAGGGATGTCACGGCGGTTCTGTCTGTGCAGCTCCACAGGTGTTTTTGAATAAAATGAGTGTTGGTGGTAGCTGGAAGCGTTGCCATTTCGGCAGAAACACCCGATGCTTCACATGGTGAATAAAAAACACCCAAAATCCTCAAAAAACCCCAAAACAAACAAACAAACAAAGAGGCAAGACTGTCCCCTTCAGATATTTTTCAGTGGTATTTTTGACTTGTTTGTTTTGGGATTTTATTGATTATTATTATTAATATTTATTATTATTATTATTATTATTATTATTTATTATTATTATTATTATTATTATTATTAGCTTGGCCATTTTCTTTTTGCATTGCCCTCCAAGCAA